GATTAGAGAATGCTTCAGCTGCTTTAATGTGTCTGAGAATAATGCACTTCCTAGAACTATTCCTTTAAGAGAAGCAAATCTGTATACTAAGGTTGTTTGTGCAGATCTCTAAAGAGTTTGGGGAAAATGTGGATGGGAATGCCTCCCCTCAGCGAGCAGCTGCCATTGATCTTTGAGGTGGCCTGGAGCAAGGAACTCAGCACCCAGCCCCCATTAGTTGTAGCGGAGCTGCTCTGTGGCAACAACTGTGTGCAATAAATCAGGTTAATACAATGAATTCAAATTTCTCTTTTTGCTTAATGGCTGAAATTTCATGTTAATGTGCCATAGTGCTGCCTTATTATTGTATTCCATCCTCACACACTCATACACATATCTTCTGTAAAAGATATGAGTTGCTGCTCTGACCTGTGTGTAATCCAGCTGTGTTTGTACTGTTTGATGTTGAGGCATCATAGTGAGCGGTTTTATTAAAGCCTCATTTTTGGGGCTGGAGGAAGGTGTTTCCCAGGCACCATATTGTCTGACCTGTCCCCACTCTGTCCTCTTCTGCACTGTGTTATTAATGAAACTGCAGGACGGATGGAACAATGAAGTCCCGAGTGGCATGTTGCACTTCTAAAGGTTGAAAGCAGCGATGTGCCCCACCTCTGCAAACCCCAGGGGTACCAGAGGAGTTTCCCCACTTATTCAATTTCCCCCCCCAGCCTTACTTCCTGTCTTTTTTTGTACGACTGACTTGGCAATAACAAAAAATATCCTAAAGAATAAAGTTTGGTTTTTAAGCATACAGCTGCTGCTGCCGCTGTCTGCGGTCCTCCCTGCCCCCACCCTCCACCCCCAGGTAGTGTTTCCTAAACTAAGCAAGCTGGATTTTGCTCAAAGCAATCCCCCTCAGGCTCAGAGGAGAGAATTACAGGAATGCAAATGTCTCTTAAGTTGCGTGAGATAAGGATTCTCTCTCCTCAAGTGTGTTTTGTTTAATTCGTGTGTTCACATTTATTTTCCTTGAGGCGGTTTTAGTGCTTTCCAGTGATTCCTTTTGCTGTTTTATTGTAGTTTGATCTGTGAGAAAGTTTCTCTCACATTCTGAAGTGGGTTTAATATAAGGCTCTGTTAATTGGCACCTAAATAACCATGTATTATCACAGAGCACATAAACATTGAAGACCACAGTTTAGGTAACATTTAATGTATAACACTATAATTTGAATATTAAAGTAAGACTGGATCACACATCTTGTTACTTTGCCATTATGGGAACTCTGATTATCTGAAATGTCAGTTCCTGTTTTCTTTATAATTAAAGTGGAATTCACACATCGCCTCTTTACAGGTCTTAAAGGTCTTGAGTTTTTTTTTTTTTAACCCTCTTCAGCAATTATAGAAAGTCTCACATGTCCTCAGAGTGTGTCTTTTCATTTTTCTGGATCAAAACACTGCAAAGATGGTTTATTTTACAGCGACTGTATCACTCCTGTTTTGACCTTGTTCTAAACATTAGTACGTGCAGCAAAGCAGCTGCTGTCCACACCCCCTTCAGGAAAAAGACTCTCTCTGTGATTGACAGCGCCGAGCAAAAGAGTTGACCACACGGCAGGCAACTTAGACGAATGAGCAACTCGGTACCTGATGTGTGTGTCGCTCATGTGTGAACATAAATGATTGTGGCAAGAGTTTAACTCAAACACACTAGACTGTAGCTACCACTACTGCTACTGCTCAACAACTTATCAACAAACTGAAGTGGAAATGTAACGCTGGACCTGTGGACAGAGCAGACTACTTGGTTGATTGTGTACTTTTGCAATATATATATGTTTTTGTGATCAATGTTAATTGTTGCTACCACACTACAGTTTCTAATACCCTGCTTTATCATAAGACAGAGGTTATTACTTCTGGTTCCTCTTGTGTTGATGTCAGGAGTTAAACTTGCATACACACTCACAGTGTGCGTCTCCAGACTGTAAGAAGGTGGTCCAGGCTTTTTTAAGAATCCGGTACAGATGGCAGACCCTGTGCGTCGTAAACCTTTGCGATTGCTCCACTCATATTGGCCGTATTGACTAGTGACGGTGGCTAACGTAGGCTGCCTTAGTCACTACTGGCATAACACACTGGAATCTCTGAAGTTGTTGGCATTAAAGTTGAAGTGTGGTTAATGTGGACTCCACATTTTGTCAAGTGAAAATAATTCTTAGTGAAATACTGGCAAGTGACCTAAAAACTAATCTAAGAACTAAATGAAAAATGGCATCAACACAAGATTGCCGTTTGACCATGACTGCATTCAGTGCCACTTCCCTAAACCGTTATTTCTGCTAATGATCATTCTTTAATTGGGCATTTATCAATGTAATGTTTTTTTTGTTTTTTAAGTCCTTATTGGGACTTGAAAAAGTGAGTCATTATGTGAATAAGTTTCCTCCCAGTTAGAAACCTAAAACCTTTTTCACCTCCCTGCCAGTGTGAGTCAATCAGTGACACTCAAGTGATGTGTTGTTGCTGCTGGTCGCCTGAGCAAAAGCCAAGCTATGAAGGGGTCTGATGATTAAGCAGGTAATCAGAACTGTTAGCAATGATTAGCGCCACTAGTCAGCGTTGGCATTCATCAGAATGCTTCTGTTTGGACTTGCCCTCTAATTTTACTTGGTAGCTCTTTGCTCTTGGATGTATTCATTGCCGGATGAAGGTGCTGTTTTCCTGTGAAATGCACTTTGCTGGTGTGAAATCAGATCACTTCAGCAGCGTGCACGTTTGCATGGCTGGTGCATTACTGCACAGTCTTCTGGAGTGTTTGTGAGAATGCGAGTGCTGATGTAACTGCAGTGCGTGCAAAGCCTCCCGGGGGAGAGAGGACCAGCACGACAGCGAGAGCCCACAGTGTGTTGCTTCTCCCTGCGATGATCCACCTTTAGAGTGTCTCTCAGTTGTCCCCCATCTGTCCTCCGGCCTGTCGGCGGAGCGGCTGCAGCTCGTGTCATTAACTCTGGCCATGAGCATTATACTGTACAGCCTGGACAGGTGTAATAATCCACACTGCCTATTGTGAAATATTGTAGTCGTCCTGCTATTGATTATTCCAGTCCAGAACATTTGGAAACTACAGCAAAGTGCCACATACACAACTACTGGATCCAAGAATAAATGAACTGTGGCTTTTAACTCGTACAAGTAAAAGATGCTGGAAATGAAATTTAGGAGACATAATTATGATTCTGCTGCATGATTGAAATCTGAATCATTGTTTAATATAATGTAATTTTTAAGTCATCAAAGTAATGATTTCAGTGAGACTGTACAACATTTTACAACGTCTTAACAAGTTGTTAGAATGATTATTTGGAAGCTCATAATCCTTTCAACTGTTGGAGAGTCCAACTGATGCTGGGTTTTTAGGGCCAATACTAATTTTGATAATGAAAACTGGCTATAATGTGGCAATAACGACAACTATTGCCCACATATCTGACTGGGTGAAGCTCGCTCAGGGTTCAGAATGAGCCTTTGAGGTGTGACTGTACATGACACTAAGTGGATGAGTCCAGGTACAGTAAAGGTGATGAGTCTGTGTTACCCTGTCTGACAGAAATCTATACATTTATCTGATATTTCTGACCATTTGATGAACAACATTCTCTATTTTGCAACAGAAACACCAATTAGGAAAACTGGAACACACACAGTTCTATTTTCAGTTCTTATCATTTTGCTGTTGGTGGTTTGCCTTTGGTGCTGGCTAAAACCTTTTCACGGTTGTGCCAAATATTCTGCGATGTAGAAAAAAAAACATTAGTTGACATTAGCTGCTAGAACTGACCAAAAGCACAAAATAAAAGTCTTGGCTTTTAATTCATGTGCCCCTCTCAGTGAGTGAAAAATTATTTAGGAAATGAGCAACACTTTATAATGGTTTAATATTTGAAAAGGTATTAAACTGTGTTTTTTGCTGTTTGTGAGATCTCTACAATAAAATGACCCATAGCTGGTGATTCGTTAACATAAGTCTTGTAGGTATTTTTACAAGCCCTTCATATCATTGTTATGAACTCAAAATTTACTGTCAGGATGATTAGAAATAAAAAAGGCAGTTGAAGCTTTATTTAATTATTCTTCTTTGGTTACATATCATCAAATGAAAGCGTCACAGCTGATTATTTTCTTGCATTCCCCTCTAGTTGCCACAAAACAATGAGCAAGGAGCAGGTTTCTGTGTTTTTAAGCACCTTTGGCTGCTTCTGAAACCTGCAGCGGACGTGGCGCTAACTGTAGCTGATTCAATAGACGTCCTGATAACGATGCTGTTCCAGACTCTTTCCAGAAAATCTGTGTGGAGTAAATATTTGCCCTGAGCCCTACCGAGAAGGACCCAGCACGTAGTTCAAGTTCAGTCACCAAGAGCAAGTTTAGAAACCGACTGATAATGTTTCAGCATATGTACGACCCGTCATGTGACATGGAAACAAACTTCAGCATATTTTATGTGTTGAATTATTCACCGGCGAAAGCGTAATATGATATATTATGATTTAATAATGTATGTGTTGCCTGTACAATATGTTCCCGTCTGCTTAGGAAAATATTGTTTGTCATGTGGGCTGCGTGCTGTTTTTGGATGTCTTCGTTTTGTGGAGAAAATAATCCTCTAATTCAATTGTGATTCCAGGTTTTGATGGATGTGCTTATTAATTTACATTCATTTACTTAACCAGATGCTCAAATCTGTACAGCAGCAAGCCTGTAGTTATTTTCCATATCATAATTATGCTTTGAGTCTATCTTATCCTTATGTTCTGCCAAATATGGCGCTTTACAAACACCTAAAAATATATTGCAGAGTATTTGCGCCTGGATATTTTAATGGAGCATGAACACTCCTGCTGTGGTATCCATTTGTATGTGAAGCAAAAAAAAAAAATGTAATTATCTTTGCATGTCAACCGTCATGTGTGTATTCTGTACATTTGTCTCACAAAGGTCCCTTCTTTGTTTTGCAGCTGTGAAGATCAGCGGACATCCAAGGCTGCATTGTCCTCAGCAAAAAGGTAAGAGGCTGCTAATGGAGGCAGGAAGACGCGGAGTGACAGAATGGCTTTTAAGGCTTCTGTTTGGACTGTCGCTACAGAGACTGGAAAATGTCATTACAGATGATGTGCAGCACCACTTATGCATGAAAGTGACGCAGCTGAAAATGTGTGATTTCCGTTAAATTGAATTAAAGTGTGAAATCACACATTTGAATAATTGTAAAAGAAGCACTCTTGACTGTATGTTGTAGCTTGTGTTGAATCAGACTCGGAGGGAATGAAATCATCCCGTTTGGCTGCACCTGTTCTTGTGTCGATGCGATGCTACGATGTCCTGCCTCCATAGAAATTCACATATCGATGTTCCTGGTAGTTGGGTTACACTAAGTATGGCTGATACTGTAATACTGTACTCGGCTATACTGGAGATGTACTGTCCCCCATCAGTGGCACACTCGGTGTACGGTTACATGCGTCGTGTGCTGCATGTGTGTCCTGGCAAGACTTATCAGGATAAGGAGGAGTAGTTCTCAGCTGCCAGGGAGCCTCATGGAAGCGTAGAGGAAAAGATTTTAGGGTTTGGTCCTGCAGGCTCTTTGCTTTTCTCTGCTGCTCTTAACTGCAGCAGCTACAGTTTCTCACTATTTTCTCTCACTTATATTTTGATGTTTTGTCAGTTTGTTTCCTTTTTCTGTCTTTATGAGTCACTCTCTTGACTTACACAATCACAGGAATGCAGTGGAAGCTGGGCGATGGACCCACGTCATATGCACTCCACCTGTGTAACTCACTCTAAATTAGCATGATGCATCAGTGCTGGCAGCTGCTTAAAGTAAACCCTCTACTTCCGCTCCATTTGTGTTTACCCAGCAAGGCAGAGTGTGTGTGTGTGTGTGTGTGTGTGTGTAAGCCACCTGATTCAAAGCTACTTGCCAGGTGGACTTTAATCAATTATCATGTGGTCTTGTTTTGTGAGGACACAAGAGATGATGTTCATTACACTGTAAAAAATAAATCTGTAAAACATTGTAAAATATAGCAGTAGATGTGCCAGGAAAAAGCAATGAAAATAAGAATATTTTTAGCATAAATTAATAGAAGTGTAATCTCATGGTCACTGTAAAAGATCGAAGTATTATTTATAAGAATACTGATTTTTGATGTGTGTACTATGTACTGTTTTTTTTTTTATTGTCAACATGCAAGTCAGCATCTTTTCAGTGACTTTACTAGATTTTATCTGTAATTCAACAAAACAGGGGAAATCTGTAAAACACTATGCAAAAAGAGATTTACCATTTTTTTTTAAAGTAGGTAATCTACATAATTTTTCTTTTAAATAATGGCTAATATCAGTAAATATACACACATGGACAAAATTGTTGGTACCTTTCAGTTAATGAAAGAAAAACCCACAACGGTCAGAAATAACTTGAATCTGACAAAAGCAATAATAAATAAAAATTCTATGAAAATTAAGCAATGAAAATCAGACATTGCTTTTGAACTGTGGTTTAACAGAATTATTTTAAAAAATAAACTCATGAAACAGACCTGGACAAAAATGATGGTACCCCTAGAAGACTGAAAATAATGTGACCATAGGGACATGTTCAATCAAGGTGTGTCCTCTAATTAGCATCACAGGTGTCTACAAACTTGTAATCAGTCAGTCGGCCTATTTATAGGGTTACA